GGTTTGGCCCCCACCCACTGGGAGAGCTGCTGGGAGAGCTGCTGGGAGAGCCCCCATGCCTCGGCTCTGTGGCAGCTGCTTTCTGTTTGCCTGCTTTTTATTTTGCTCTGGAGGATCTGGGTGCTGTGACACAGCAAACGGGGGTGATAGCCATGCTTTGCCTACCTTTGCTCTTGCACAAGAGGTTGTGCTGGTGCACGTGGGAGGAGTAAGGACAGCAGTTGGTGGACATCAGAGCACACTCCTGGTCATAGAATCCCACACTGGTTTGGATGTGAAGAGATCTTAAAGGTCATCCAGTCCCAGCACCTGCCATGGGCAGGGACACTTCCGACTAGACCAGGTTGCTCCAAGTCCCATCCAACCTGCCCTTGGAACACTTCCAGGGATGGGGCAGCCACAGCTTCCCTGGGCAACCCGGGCCAGGGACTCACCACCCTCACACCTCCTCGTGTTCAACCTCAATCTCCCCTCTTCCAGTTTTAGTCCATTCCCTGTTGTCCTCTCCCTCCCTGCCCTTGTCCCAAGTCCCTTTCCAGCTTTCCTGGAGCCCCTTCAGGCACTGGAAGGTGCTCCAAGGTCTCCCTGGAGGCTTCTCTTCTCCAGGCTGAACACCCCAACTCTCTCAGCCTGTCTCCATCGCAGATGTCTTCCCCATTCCTTTGCCTGGGGGCCACTGCTGTCCCACCAGATGCTTTTAGCTGTGTGAGACACCTCTGGGGTCTTAAGGACTGGAAAGCAGCCCCTGTCTCAGAAACGAGGGAGGTGGGGCCAGCTGTGCAGCTGCCTCTCTTGCTCCTGCTCCTGGAGCCAGAGGGGCGGCCCCAGGAAACATCTCCGCAGGGTGGGAATGTGGCCGGGCCCTGCGTTTGGGTTGGCTGCCAGAGCTGCTGACCTGAGTCATCCCACTCACAACCTGCCTTTCCAAGAACGCGGCTCCTCCGGGGAGCCCGGGGCATGCTCTGCTGGGGCTGCCGGCCCTGCCTCCATCCAGCCCTGCACTCCCTCGGGGGCTGTATTTGTGTCTTTGTGGGCTCTCTGCTCCTCTTCTACTTGAGCGGGGCTTGGTGGAGGTGTGTCTGGGTGGTCAAAGCCCCTACCCTGTGCTGGGGTGGGGAGCTTTGGGATGTGGATGGGAATTGGTGCCAAAGCTCCCAACACAAAGAAAAGACAGTTGGGAAAGGAACAAAAAGCCTGTGTCCTGCCTGGGGATGGAGTAGGAAGAGGGTCAGGTACCAGGACACGTGAGATGAGGTGCCAGCCCTGTCCTTGTCCCCTCTGGGTACCAGCCTCCACCTTAGGACAGCCTGCAGGGTGGTAGTTCCAACACCCAGCACCGTTTTACAGGCAGCCTGCTGGGACACTGGTGAGGAGACACGTTTTTGCAACTGCAAACCCGTGTTTGAGCCCAGCCTGTGTTATTTCTTGGTGGTCTGCACTTTGGGAGGTGCAGAGATGTCTCCTGGCTGCCCCAGGGAGCTCACAACAGGCAGAAACTGCCCTGTTCCCTGGGTCCTGCCCTGCCTGGCAGCAATCCCTTAGTCCCCTGGTGTGACACACAGAGCCACAGCTGTCACGGAGCCCAGGAATGGAACAGCAAGACCTGGTGCTTTCTGCTGGTGAATTTACGAGCTGCTGGTGTTTGCCTTCCGTGGAGAAGGCAAGCGGAAAATGCGGCTCGGAAATATTTCCGCAGCTGCCCCGGCCGTGCTGTGAGCTGCCTTGTTCACAGCAGCCCAGCCTGGAGGCCCGGCAGGCTCAGGAGCTGCTGCTGGCTCCAGCACAGGCTCCTTGATAAAAAAAAGCCAGCTG